TAAGAGTAAGTACTAATGTTGTTAATCTTAAAGGTTAACTATTTTAATGTGTATATATTAATATATAACACCATCATATATAAATGGTTTGTGTTTGCATTAAAAAAAAAAGGAAAAAAAAAACCTTGTGCCTATTTTCTCAAAGGAAAATGCTGGCTATGGGGTTTGAACCCATGCGCACTTTTGTGCAAAAGATCTTAAGTTTTCCCCCTTAACCTCTCGAGCAAACCAGCAATTATTTACAAGTTAAGTTTGTTAAATTCTAAACTTTAAAAAGTTGTTTCTGCTAATGAGATGGTCACTAGAGTTCAATGTATGTTACTAATATTAGTGTGTGTGTATATACATACATAATTTTATATAATTATATATGCATATATTTTTTTGAGTGAGAATATATAAATATATATGTTTATTTATTTATATTAAAAAAGTGTATTATAATTAGAGTTAATGTCATATAAGTCCTTTAAATATAGTGTTTTTGTCACGTTTAGTCTTAAATTTTCAAATTAACCACCCGTTATCTCTTGACTTTCAAATTATTACCAAAAGTTGTCCTTCCATTACTTTGCTCAATAATTTGGGCCGTATAAATTGAGTGTAAAACTGTCATTCCATGTTGTTCTTCCGTTTTTAAGTCAAAATATAACAATTACTACTTAGCTTGTTCTTTTTTCTCCAAGAAACCAAATCTCAATTTCTTCTTCTCCAAACCGTAACTCATTTTCCCCAACAAAATTCATCAGTATAGTACAATTGATTATATATTTTTTTGTTAGTATTTTTAATAGTAGAAATCAAACAGTAATTCTACTAAATTGTTATACAAACTTGTTTTTATATTATTTTGTACGCAAAATATATTTTATATTGTACCACATTTTCAATAATAAGACAATATACTTTGAATTTTTTTGTATTCACATGTGTATTTTTATTGATTTGCAATCTTATTGTGTCAAGAAAAATGAACCAAGCAAGAGTAAGAACTGAACTGAAGAATTATTTCTTAAAGAACAATAAAACCATGGAGTCAAAAACCATCCAAACTCTGATGTACATGCATAATCACTGAAATAATGGATCTTATATGTATCTATCACAATTTACTGTCAATTTTCTGCAACTCAATAGGTAAATAAGACCATCTCAAAGATTAACTGAAGATGATGTCGTGAAAATGTACCATACTATATTACGCATTCTAGTGTTTCAATGTTATAAATTTATGATTCAAGAAATTACACATTCAAAAGTTACATACTATATTACTATTTCAAATGTTATTACTGAAGAATTAGTAATTTATTGGAGAATGCATTGGATTCATACCAGTTTTTTTAACTTTTTTTAATCTTAGGCTCTTTAACATATCCCTAACAATTGTGAATAGTACTACTTAATCTGACTAGGTTCAACATCAACTGGGAATTCTGCAGGTATATTTGTACATCTCCTATCATTCTATAATATTATTTGTATAAATAAATTGCGGCTACAATATGCCAATCGAATTGCTAGCACTGCACCCCCTCAAACTCAACATTCTGCCAAAATCTCCTCAAACTATATTAGTATATATATTTAATATTTTATGCCCTAAATTGTATTTGCTCTCCCTTATGTCCCGTATTTGGTTTCAACCATACATATACAATTATTTTATTGACAATTATAATAATATTGACTATATTATCTTGCATTTGTAAACTTAAAATTACCTATTTAAATACGCAAATTCAATATTATATTCAATTATCTATGCATGAACAACTCCAATATGTATAATCGTACTTTAATATACTAAAAGTATTTATTTGAAAATAAATATCTGGTATTATCTCAATTACACAATGCGCGTGAAAAATTAGTTATAGAAATAATCCAGTGTTTTTTATACTTGATAATTATTTTGTTTTCATAGATTAGACTTAATTGTAATTGAATAAAAAAATTAGAGCGAATTGACTTCAAATTTTAGTGAATAATTTCGTATTTCTTTGTTAAATTTTTATTATGCAGTATATTTGGACAACAAATTTTAATTACATTTTTATTTTTATTATAGAATACAATAACTTGGAGTTAAAATAGATTTAAATTCAATTACCCCACTTTAAAAACAATGAAAGTCTATTAATCAAGGCTCTTATTTTCAGTGGAATGGTCCTAATCGTAGCATTCTTCCTCTTATTAAAGAGAAATAATTAGATAATGACCGTAACTTTTTTGTAGTAAAATATTTCAATTTTCAAGCATAAATATGATTTTCGATAAGGACAAGTTTTAGACGACACGCAAAGATTTCATTAAAAGAAACGATCGAAAAGCACAAACTAAAAATAGAAACTAACAATCCAACATCCTCAGATCAAACGAACAAAAGTGTTTAACAGACACAGATTTATTGATTCATTGCATAGGACCAAATATAATGGTGGCGGCGCAGACGTCGGTTATGTCCCGGGGTTCTCCCTTCGGCAACATGGCGCAGACGGCGGCACGGGTACATTCTTCGGCAACATCGTACCATAAGGAGATCTCCGATGATGATTCTCCGACGACAATAATCCCACTGTCATCCTCTCGCCGTTTGTCAGCCCACCAAACAACCCAAAAACGAGCAGCAAAACAAGGAGAAGCTTTGAAACATTAGCTTCTTGCAAAGACATTTTTACGAATTAACAAGAAATGAATAAGCTTCAATGGGGTATATGTTATTTGTTTTGAGATTGACAAAAAACATTATCGTAAAGGAAGGTGTTTTATAGTGCAATTTGGAATTGGATACTGATGAATAAGGAAGCAAATAATGCTTAATGATGAATGAGGAAGCAAATATTGAAGATCAAATCTTGCAGATTTCTTTACTGTATATTCCTTGTATATAGTGATTCAGTTTATTTCCTTTCCAGTAGCTTACCTTAGTTTCTTTGCATTTATTTATTCTTTGCTATTGTCAGTAATTGAATATGCCTTTCCCTCATCTTATTTTTTCACGTCTAACCAATATTCCTTGAGTTTCTCAAACAATTACTATTCACACTACATCTTTACAAATTCTATCAATTTTAAAAAAGTAATATCTTTTTTTCAATAAATATTATTTTCTCTTCAACATTATTAATTTATATTAATATATAAAATACTTTTAACTATTAAAAATAGCAATATTGAAAATCTAAAAACGTAATTTTTAGAAAACTATTTAAAAAATTATTCGTACTATGTATATAACCGAATGCAAATTATACTACGAATTTTTTTTTTATATCTAAAATAATTCATGTTGTAAATTTAAATTACGATTTGAATTGTAAAACTAAACCTCAAATGAACCTTACAATTCGAAGTAATTGAACACATTAAAATTAATCCAAGTACATATTTAAAGACATTGAAATAATTAAAATTAAACAAATGAAACGTAAAAACAGTTGTACAATAAACAAATGAAGAAGTTATTACATTAGTAAGTATGATGAAATTAGTTTATATGCATTGTATTTATAAATAAATGAAAATTTATGCACTCTTTTAATATATCATTTCATTAAAAATTTTATTACATATAAATCTCTCCCCATTAAAAAAATGGTAGTCTAACTTTCCCATCACCTAATTTGCAAATCAATTACTATTCACATTACATCCATGCAAATTCAATCAACTTATCATATCACTTTGAAAAATCAATATCTTTTTCTCAATAAATATTATTTTCTCTTCAACATTATTAATTTATATTAATATATAAAATACATTTAAATATTAAAAATAAAAAAAATGAAAATTCAAAAACATAATTTTGTTATAAATTACTTTTAAATATTAAAAATAGTAATACTGAAAATCTAAAGAAATGTAGCTTAAATGGACTTGTTGTTAACTATTTTATTTTTTTCTTTAATTTGACAATAATACCTGATGGAATAATTACGGAGCGGACCTGGAGCGAAGAAATATGGAGCGGATCACACCCGGCACCGAGTGGACTACGCACGCGGCCGGACAGACCATGGAGGTGTCTACCTCAACGGGTTCCTCAACTACTACCACGGGGTCCTCGGCTATTATCATGGGGTCCCAGGCTACTATCATTGGATCCCCGGCTACTGTGCACACGGAGTAACGAACCACCCCGGGGTCGGCCAACATGGGCTCGGCACCCCAGGGTCGGCCTACGTAGGCTCGGCCACCACGGGGTCGGCCAGCGCACCCCGGGTCGGCTTACGTGGGGTCGGCCACCCTTTGGGGTCGGCTCGACCGGGACGGGGTCCTCGCGTTGTCCGAGTCGTGCGGTGGCAGTTGCGACTCCTCTCGCGTACCCCGGGCCACGCTTTGGACCCGGTCCTGAGCTAGGACGCGGTCAAAGCGCCAGATCCAACCATCCCCCGGTTTAGGGGGAGCGGTTAGAGGTTTGTAGCATATAAAAACCCCTCCCCTTGTCCTAACAAGGGATACTTGATTCCTATCTCATACTTTCTTACAACATTTGTACTGTTATTACACTTCCCTAACCTCTTTAGATAGCATTTTATGTCCAATTAATTCAATATTTACCGCTTTATTATTCGTTCATCATATTCAAACATATATTCGGGTTGTATAATCCAGACCCACGGGTTCATATAAACCGTCATTGGTGCTCTTGTTGAGAGCGACTGTACAAGCTTATGTGCTCTCCCCATTATCATTCATCCACAGCGATGACAAGATCCGGGTCGAACACCCACATCTCGCAGGGTTCACGCAACACCCGCGACTTCTCCCTCGCCAACCACCCCAACGTGACCACGGCGAGTCGGCAGACTGTGCCCGTAGGGACGGGAGGGGACCTCAGAGATCAGATCAATAGGAACCGGCGGAGGACCTCCGCGGTCAACCGCGTCGCGGCGGGGCTGTGACGGGGTGCCCCGGCACCACCACCTCCGCCCCCTCCGAGGGAGCACGGTGGTCCCAAAACTCACGTGCCCCGGGTGCTGCGACGCTGGCTGATGGGGAATTCAACTCACCGCGACCATCCGAGAGACGAGAAGAGGAAGAAAAAAGAGGAGGAGGGGCGGGGCCGGAGTGACAAGGCACCTCATCCTCAAGAAGACCGACGCCAATCACGGTCGCGCCGTGATCGGGGTCCCCGTCTAGCCCCTCTGCGACACCTGACCCCGCTGACACAGCCCGTGATGATCATCCTGGACCACGTGGAGGACATGGGCATCGTGTCGTTCCCCGAGGAGTGCTTGAAGGTCTCCCCCAAGGTCAACCCGAAGAAGTACTGCTGTTTCCATCGGCAGCGCGGGCACGACACGGACGAGTGTATGGTCCTCAAGAGACAGATCGAGGAGCTCATCCAGTGGGGGTACCTAGGCCAATACGTGAAGAGGACAGGGCAGAACCTCGCCAAAGGCCCCGACAACACCCGGAAGAGGAAGGGCGGTGCCGGACCATCCGCCTCTGCCCCGCGCAAGAGGGAACTCGGCCAACTCACGGCCGACGAGGAGACCGAGCCGGATAGTCCGCCAAAGAAGAAAGTCATCCATGTCATCTTCGGCGGCCCGGAGGGTGGAGACACGCCCGCCATCTATAAGAGGTGGGCGCGGAGCCTATACGTGGGGGAGGTCGTCCGGGTACCCCACGAAAAGAGGACACGCCGGGAGCCCATATCGTTCACCGACGACGACCTCCCGGATGGCCCCCTGCCCCACCGAGACGCGTTGGTAATCAGGCTGGAGATCAAGGACATCATTGTCCACCGTGTACTGGTGGATACGGGGAGCTTCGTGAACGTCATGTATTATGACACCTTCACGAAACTCGGGTTATTCCAAAAGTAGCTCTCCCCAGTACGGATCCCGCTATCTAGTTTCACCGGGGACTCCACCGAAACAGAGGGCTCCATCACCCTCGAGGAACAAATCAGCACCCCGCCGCACGTCAAAAGGTGGGAGGTGGTGGTCAAAATCTGCTGTGCTCACAATATCATCTTCGGCCGACCTGCCCTGGAGGACCTCAGGTGCATCAAGTTCCCCACCCCCACAGGAGTGGGTGTCGCGCGGGGAGACCAGAAGATCAGTCAGAGCTACTACTTGAAGGCATGCCGCCAAATAACAACGAAGGACCTCCAGGTACACACCGTAATCGAGAAGGCGCTTCGATAGGAAGAGAAGCGGCCCCGAGCCGAACCCGCGGTGGAGACGGAATAGATCATTCTGGACCTCAGCCGACCTCCGGGGTTGGATCATGGAGGTCATCTGCAGCTACAAGGACGTGTTCGCCTGGGGTCCCGAGGACATGCCGGGCCTTAGTCAGGAGGTCATCACGCACAAACTGACGGTGGACCCCAAAGCCAAGCCGGTCCAGCAGCGGAAGCGCTACCTCGCCACGGACAGACTAGAATTTGTGAAGAAGGAGGTCTACACCCTCCTCAAGATAGGGCACACAAGGGAGGTCCTACACCCGACATGGCTCACGAACGTAGTCCTCGCACCTAAACCACCTACGTGGAGGATGTGTGTGGACTACACGGACCTCAACAAGGCATGCCCCATGGACCCTTTCTCGCTACCCAACATGACCGCACCTGCGCGGCACACCAAGGAGCCTTCGTCATGGCGAGGAGGGCGCTATTGCAAGGGTAATTTTGGCCAAATATGGCCAAGGAGTGCGCAATGTACGCCCGGGAGTGCCCGACCTGCCAGCACTTTCACGCGGAGCCAGGTCGGCCAGTAACCAGTTGCACGCCTATCAGCACAGTGATCCCATTCTCAAGGTGGGGAATCGACATAGTCGGGGCCTTACCTATGGGGTCCGCAAAGAGGAAGTACATAATAGTCGCCATAGACTATTTTACAAAGTGGGTCGAAGCCGAGCCCCTCGCCACCATCACAAACACCCCGTGCACGGAGTTCGTACGGAGGAACATTCTATACCGCTTTGGGGTCCCCATGCAAATCATCTCCGACAACGGGCGGCAGTTTGAGAGCAAAGAGTTCAAGGAGTTCTGCGACAATTGGTACATAAAACATACCCGTGTGGCGGTGGCATACCCGCAGGCAAATGGACAGGTGGAGAACGCCAACAGAACTATAGTGGAAGGCATCAAGAAGAACCTGGACGCAGCCAGAGGTACATGGGTGGAGGAGTTGGACACCGCCCAACGGGCGTACCGCACCACCCCAAGAAGAGCCACCGGGGAAACTCCGTTTGTGTTAGCATACAGGTTCGAAGCGCGGGCCCCCACCGAGGCCGCGATACCATCCTATCGGGTCGCAGTGTACAACCCCGACCTCAATGAGGAGCACCACGCTGCTGACCTCCACCTCATCGATGACAGAAGGGAAGACGGCATGGTTCGCGCGGAAAATTACCAGCGCCTGACAAAGGCATACCACGACAACAGGGTCCGACCTCGCTACTTTCAAGTCGGCGATTACGTCCTCCGGAGGAGGGAAGCAAGCCAACCCTAGGACGGAGGCAAGTTTGCCAATAAATGGGAAGGACCATATGTGGTCAAAGCCATAGTACGCCCGGGCATCTACAAGTTGAGGACTCCATCGGGCAAGACGGTGTACTGGGTGTGGAACTCGGAACACTTGCTGAAATTTTACTAGTAGAAGCACATTTGTACGACCTACCCCCTCCCCAATAACACGCCGACTCCCCACAATAATGTTTTGTTTTCGTTCGTAATGGAATAATGAATTTCGTTGAGCAATTATTCTATCTCGAATGGTGGAAGAGCAAGGGCACATGCGAGATCAGGTACTCGGGCACCGCGGGGTCGGCTGACCTGAGGACGGCCATGCCGGGTCGGCCAGACGTGGCGGCTACGTACGCGGGGACCGCAACGGCAAACTTAGACGTAGCACATGCCATAGGGGTGGTACGAGGTCCGGCCTCGCCTATCGCCGAACGGAAGGGTTCGCGGCGCGAGTCAAAGGACTCCATCCCAAAATCGCTAAAATGTCCTAGGGGCGGTACGAGGTCCGGCTTCGCCTACCGCCGAACGGGCGTAACGCAATCTTAACCCCCTAGGGGCGGTACGAGGTCAGACCTCGCCTATAGCCGAACGAGCGTAACGCAATCTAAATACCCTAGGGGTGGTACGAGGTCCGACCTCGCCTATCGCCGAACGGAAGGATTCGGGATGCGAATCAAAAGGCTCCAACCCAAGAATCGCTAAGACGTTCTAGTGGCGGTACGAGGTCCGACCTCGCCTATCGCCGAACGGGCGTAACACAATCTAGATACCCTAGCAACGGTACGAGGCCCGACCTCGCGTACCAACCTCGACGGAAGAGCTTAACGGCCCAAGTTCAGTGACATGGAGTCAAAGGGCCACCCTAAGGGGGCACGAGGTCCGACCTCGCGTACCAACCCCAACGGAAGAGCTTAACGGCCTAAGTATGGTTGTAACACCCCTGATTTTCAAGACATTTAAAAATTAATAATAAAGGTAACATCTCATTAAATCCCAAAACGTAACATAAGTGTACGGGGTGCTATGCCACACCTGGGCTAGAGAACCCAGGTGCACAGGCTGTCTAACTACTATCCTCTGAAATATAAATGCATAATATGGCACGCAGGCCGAAAGGGAAACTATACTACTTCTACGTTCCAGTTCTAGCGTGCTCCAGTGCTCTAATCCTCTGTGCCTGAAAGCCAAATATATCTATTCAGCGAGAGATGCTGGTAACCCACTCCAACGCGTTGAAATACAATACATATAGCAATATATATATAGATATACGAAAACCATTTTGAGCATGAAGATATATCCTACGAACTCTAGCTTTAAAACCGGGAATGACTCGACAGATAAGGCCAGACACAAGCAACAGTTATAACAGTCATAAGCAGTTCATAACAGATAAGGCAAGGTATAAGCAGTAATCATGACCCATCATAAACAATTCCCCAATATAAATCCCATAGTCACATTCCCCAAGGCACTCATAATCACCACTCATCCATATCACAACACATAACACACTTTGTTGGCGCCACAGGACCAATCGCATGCCCATACATGAGGGTCAGCGCATATAGCTCTGACACGGCCCCGCAGCATCCTGCCCCGTATCGCAACACGGAGGGGTCGATCGCAACCGACCGATGAACCGCAGCTCATCATAATGTTTGATCGCAACCAAACAGTGGACCGCAGCCCAAGAGAGTGTGTCGTCTGACTGTAGCCAGGAATTCCCATCTGACTACAGCCAGCCTCTGAACCGCAGCTCAGGAAAGATGTCACCTGATTGCAGCCAGGAATTCCCATCTGACTACAACCAGCTTCTGGACCGCAGCCCAGGATACCGTCATCCGACTACAGCCAGGAATTCCCATCTGACCATAGCCGGTTTCTGAACCGCAGCTCAGGATAACCAATCCGATCGCAACCGAATTGGGGTAACACGCACACATAACACATAGCAAGCACATGCAACCCACATTACACCTTGGGAAGGGGGATAAAGCGTATAACAACCTTATGCGTGATCCATCACGTACTAAGAATAGTCCTAAGGGGTTCATACTTCTTCCACCTAGGTCAACGGGATACCAATTCAACTAGCATGCAATATAATAGACTCATAAACCTACGAACGGTACCCGAAATATCAAACTAGACATAGGCACGACAAACGGGGTCCGTTGGGACACCACGGGGAACGGGGAAACATCAAACGGGGGAGCCGGAAACCCGAGGGAGGGTGTAAACCAGCGGGTAGCCGGTGGGTGAAGGTTCACCCGCCGGCTGCCCGCCGGCGACAACTGTTCCGGGCAGCGGGTGCCCGGCGGGCAGCTGCCCGCCCGCCGGCTGCCCGCTGCCGGCGTTGCCCAAATAGGCCGCGGGTAGGTGGCGGGTCCCCTACCCCCCACTGACTCTTAACACACAATTTCGCCCCGGGAACCATTGTGGAACCCGAAACCATGCTTAGACACTTTACAACGCAATTAACGATACACGTAGATAATTTACGGAACAAGTACGAGAAACGAACGGCACATAACCTATCATGCTTTTCTAAACATAATCAACACCCAAACATGCGATTTCCCCACCCGATAATCCAAGAATAATATCATACGATACAACCTAGGGTTCTAATCACTTTTATATCAACAATAATACGATTCGTCTTCTAATTGCAAGATTCGGTAAGAATAACACATAAGCATCAAGAACATCACGCAATTATCAAGAACAACAAATAATCATCAAGAACTCCATATAATTATCAAGAACTCCATAATTATCAAGAATCTCCCAATATCAAGATTATCAAGATCCCTCATGGGATCATCACATCAAACATCAACAATAATCATCATAACTCGCCAAACACAATAATATGGGGGGAAACCCTAAGGGGAAATCATAGCTATGAAAATAGGTTTTGTTGAGACATGGGTTACCTCTTAGCCTTAATTAATTCCTTGGCTATGAAGGATCTTTCTTTAAGCTTTCTTGATTTCTTGATTTCTCCTAGGGGAATTCTTGGAGCTCTTTGGGTGGTGAGTCGTTTATTGTGGTGTGGGGGTTCTAGGTGCCTCTTAAGTCCCCTATTTATATATTTAGGAGTCCTAATTAGGAACTAATATTATAGGCCTGCTAATTCTATTCCTTTTGGGACTAAGGATTGGGTTCCATGGTCCATAGTGGACCATATTAATTAATTAAAGAGAATCCTAATCATAATCTGAATAGTAAAAGGCCTACTTCCTTTATTCCTAATAGATAACTAGGTCTAAGATTCCTAATCAGAATTTGAATAGTAAAAGGTTTACTTTCTTTATTCCTAATGGGCTTAAGGCTCTAATTTAGGCAAGGGCCCACGGTTCATGGTGGGCCTTATTAATTAATTAAAGGGAAACCTAACCGAATTAAATCATATTTAATTATTATTAACGGGATTTATTAAATAATTAATCCGGGATTGAAGGCCGTAACACGGGGTGTTACAATGGTGGCTTGGGGTCGAAGGGCTACCCTAAGGGGAGCCCGAAGTCCGACCTCATTCGCCACTCGGCAGGGTCTCGGCCGACTTCCCAAGGAGGTCTTGGCGAACTTTTTCGATGAGGTCTCGGTCGACCTCTCGAGGAGGTCTTGACCGACCTCTCGGGGAGGTCTCGACCGACCTCTCGGGGAGGTCCCCGCCGACCTCTCGGGGAGGTCTCCGCCAACTCTCGAAGAGGTCCCCGCCGACCTCTCGAGGAGGTCTCGACCGACCTCTCGGGGAGGTCTCGGTCGACCTCTCGAGGAGGTCTTGACCGACCTCTCGGGGAGGTCTCGACCGACCTCAAGGGGAGGTCCTGGCCGACCTCTCGGGGAGGTCTCCGCCAACCTCTTGAGGAGGTCACCGCTAACCTCTCGAGGAGCTCCCAGCCGAACTCTCGGGGAGGTCCCGGCCGACCTCTCGGGGAGGTCCCGGCCGACCTCTCGGGGAAGTCCCGGCCGACCTCTCGAGGAGGTCCTCGCCGACTTCTCTAAGAGGTCTCGACCGACCTCTCGAGGGGGTCTCAGCCGACCTCTTGAAGAGTTCTCGGCCGGCCTCGCGGTGCACCCTAGGGGACCTCGCCTATCGCTAGAGCCGTCGAAACGGTCTCGCGGGGCGGGACGGGCCAAAACACACCAAAGCCCGTCCTCGTAGCGGGATGGGCTAAAAAGCCCGCCTCTTAGCGGGCTTGGAATGTGGCCGGCCCGCCCCGCCATGCCAAAGCCCGCTGGTGGGGCGGGCTAGCCCGCCAAGCAATTTTTTCACTATGTTAATTTTTTTTTTAAAAAAAATCACTGTACAATATCCTTAAAAAAAAATTTAAAAAAAACTCACTGTATAGACGTACAGTACACTAACACAGTAACACTACCTAGTATTGTATTCCTATAAATCTAAAATCTTATAAGTTACAACACACTAACACAATTACACAAACCAAAATAACATGTATTAAATACTAAATATATATAGAGAAAATATATATGTATTAGCAGGTCGCGGGCTAAACCCGTGACCCGCCCCGCCTGGACCCGTGACCCAAGCGGGACGGGCTAAAAAGCCCGCCTCCTGGCGGATCAAAATTTGAAGAACCCGTCCCCTACCAAAGGCGGTACGGGACGGGTCGACCCGGCGGGTAAACCCATTTTTTACGGCTCTACCTATCGCCATACGGATGAGCCGCGTCTCCCCATCGCCCGGCTGAAGGAGAGCCTCAACGCCAACGGGGTCAATGTGAATCTGCTCCAAAGGGACATCATCACAAGCACCATGTGGAAGGTCTGAAATCAAGACCGGATTGGACGGAAGGTCCGTGGCCGAGCCCCGAGGGGAAGTCAGATGAACATCTCCATTGGCCACCTCCATTGGGTCGGCTGGTGACTCCGGGTTCCCGAGGTCAGCCGGGAGACCCCACGCTACGGGGTCGAGGGTCATGTCTCTCTTGCAAAGAACGAACTAAACTCTACGCTGCATCACATACTCTCCCACATTGTACATCTGCAGCCCCTGCACAGCCATGAGCCCTTTCCCAACGGGGTCGCGTAGAAGGCCCCCAAAGGTCTCCACCGCATTCTCGGCGAGGTGGGCCTTCACATCCTTGATGAACACCTCGGAGTCCTTGTAGCTTGACATGGCTGCTTTCAGAGCCCACCTCGGAGTCCTTGTAGCTCGACACGGCTGCCTTCGAAGCCTCCTCATGCGCCCGGCGCTCCCGCACATGGCTGGCAATCAACTCGGCATACTTGCCCTCCAACGCCGCAGGCTTGCTCCCCATGGCCTTGTGCGTCGCCTCCAACTCTTTGCGACCCCCCATCTCGGCCCCCAGCTGAGCCTGAAGGGTCCCCAACACGTTCTCCATGGACGCCGCTCGGGCGACAGCTTGCACAACAGCAAGCATGGACGAAGGATGAAGCGTTAAAACACGAGGGGGGGTTCCGTAATTATAAAGCGGCTTTGGTACTCTCTCGGGCTGACGACTTCTCGCAGCCCCGAGAGTGGGGGACTGATGATGGAATAATTACGGAGCGGATCACACCCGGCACCTAGTGGACTACGCACGCGACCGGACAGACCATGGAGGGGTCTATCTCCCCGGGGTCCTCAACTACTACCACGGAGTCCTCGGCTACTATCACGGGGTCCCCGACTACTATCTTGGGGTTCCCAGCTACTGTGCACACGGAGTGACGAACCACCCCAGGGTCGGCCAACATGGGTTCGGCACCCCGGGGTCGGCCTACGTAGGCTCGGCCACCACGGGGTCGGCCGGCGCGCCTGGGGTCGGCCAGCGCACCCCGGGTCGGCCTACGCGGGGTCGGCCACCCTTTGGGGTCAGCTCGGCCGGGACGGGGTCCCCGCGTTGTCCGAGTCGTGCGGTGGCAGTTGCGACTCCTCCCGCGTACCCCGGGCCACGCTTTGGACCCGGTCCTGAGCTAGGACGCTGTCAAAGCGCCAGATCCAACCATCCCCCGGTTTAGGGGGAGCAGTTAGAGGTTTGTAGCATATAAAAACCCCTCCCCTTGTCCTAGCAAGGGACACTTGATTCCTATCCCATACTTTCTTACAACTTTTGTACTGTTATTACACTTCCCAAACCCCTGTAATAGCATTTTATGTCCAATTAATACAATATTTACCGCTTTATTATTAGTTCATCATATTCAAACATATATTCGGGTTGTATAATCCGGACCCCCGGGTTCATATAATCCATCAATACCCTTAAATTTAACATTCATCACTTAACATAAAAACTAATGGATGACTATTTGTGGTCAAAAAAGAAAGTTGATATATGTGTTTTGGTCGAACTGAAAGTGGATGAATAAAAGGTACTACCCTAATAATCAGATGACCATTTGTGGTATTAACTTTTTTTTTTTTTTTTTGAATATGACAAAAATGAATTTTAATTTGAAAAAAAAAATCAATTATTTTCAAGATCTGTATATTAATAAGTTTGGTAAATTTTTTAAAGAAATGTTTACATTGAAACTTTTGTACATATATGAGTATCTTAGTTTCCTGTCTCCTTAGAGCTCAAGGATACCGAGGTACGAGCCTATAGAACAGATCCTGTTCAAGTAAGGTCGTACATATATGAGTATCTAATTTTACTATTCCACCTATAAGAAAAATGATCTAGCCTATTTTATAAATTTATTTATTGGATTGGCTAATAAAATCATACAAAATTTTCAAATTTAGTATAAAAAAAATAAACATACAACGTCGGCTAATTAGAATTAGCCGACTGATGGGGTAAGGACCCCGGCCCAAAAGATAGGGGCCCAAAGAAAATAGAAGTGGGCCAGCATCGAGAGGAGCCCGAAGAGCAATCGGGCCGGGTCCGGGAGTCGGCCCAGGCCCAAGCACGGGGCCCAGTTCAGAGCTACTAAGAGGAGTCCAGTAAGAGCTTAGGCTGAGACAAGGAGTCGACCGAGGCCCAAGCCCAGGAAAAGACTCGGCTCGAGGAGCTGTTGAGAGCATTAAAGGGGTTCATTTAAAAGAGAGCCGTTAAGGCATTGAAGGCAGGACCCGGTCGGGCTGTTACAAGCCCGGGAGAGCCGTTGGTCGACCAAGTAATGGCGTCCAACGGCTCCGTATCTTGATTAGCCTTGAAGTCGGCCATTAAGGGCCTTCAAGTCGGCAGAGGAGGAGCCACTATATAAAGGCTCCTCCATTCTTGTAAAAGGTAGACAAGGGAACACCCGGAGGAGGGGAGAATAACAAAGAAATTCCGAGCACTAGCATTATCTCTGAGTTAGACATACATTTTATTGAGAGGTGTATCCTCTAGCCAAAGGTTGTGTTGGATCTCCTTGGGCCCAAAAACCCTAAAACCATCACTGGCGCCGTCTGAGGGATCGAAACGAAGAGTCACGTGTCCTCTTGAGTGAGGCGAGTCCGCCGAACGACAATCAGAACCTCAGTCGAATTAGAGAAACTTCAGACATGGTCGGAAGCGAGGAACAGTCGAGCCGTCATGACAATGGACGGGAGGCAGACCTGAGAGGCCAGCTGAATCGGAGAAACGCCCAGAGCCGGGAAAACGAGACGACCCCGCCGCCGACACCACAGATAAACCAACAATTTCCCCAGGTGCTGCTCACCCCGGAGCAGTTACGCGCAATCGGACGCGCCTGCGCCGAAGCAAGCCTAGGAGTGAGAGAACAGTCCGTCACTCGCCAGCCGCAACGAGAGTTACAGCCGCTTCAAAGGCCCGACAACCGGCAATTTAGCCGACGGGCTGAGAGCCAACCGGTACAATCCGTTCATTCCCGGCTGGGTCCCAGCGTTGGGCGTCGGTCGGCAAGGGAACGATTGGGTCGGAAGGAACCCAGTCGTGCCCCATTAGCCGCCCGCGATCGACAAGCTGCACGAGAGAAGAGCCGTACCAAAAGAGCTAGGACTGAGACTCGTCGCGTGGGGCAACCCCCCCGCAACCCCGACCAACCGGCCGAGTCTGAAGTCGGCGAGAGCACGGAATCCACGGGAAATCGCACCCGGGAGAGGGTCGAAGTGGCGAACTTAGTACAAGAGGTGCGAAATCTGAAAGAACGAATGGAGGGAAAAGCCAAATCCCCGGGACGTACATTGCTGACCGCCTTACCCTTCTCGAACGAGGTTATGGCTTTTAAGATACCGGGTGACTTCAAGTTCCCGGAACAAGCCACGTTCGATGGAACCGGCGATCCCCGAGAGCACTTGCTGAGCTATCAGGCTAAGATACATGTTTTGGGGGTATGAGATCCGGTCATGTGTCGCGCTTTCTTACCCACGTTGAAGGGGTCAGCACAAAGGTGGCTAGTGGCGCAGCCCTCAGGGTCGATTCACAACTTTGAAGAGCTGGCAGACCGCTTCATGAGCCATTACGCCGCTAATATCAAGCCACAAAAGGACCTAACTCACTTGGGTGACATCCGCCAAGACGAAGGCGAATCCTTGAGAACCTATCTGGCCCGCTGGCAGAGAGAAATCCAGTCCATAGAGGAGGTCGAGGACCAGACGGCGCTCACTTTCTTCATCGAGTTGCTGCGGTCCGGCCAGCTGTACCGAGACCTGAGGGACAATCGTCCGGCCACCTACGCAGAAGCCATTCATATGGCCAACAAGAGGGCCAATACGGAGCAGGCTATGAAGTACAAGCGACAGCGCGAAGTCGGCGGATCCGCCAGCGGGAAGAGAACGCGAGCGGAACCAAAGAAAGGCGCCCGGACGTAACTCGGCGACCCGAAGTTAGACGGCCGTACGACCGACCCGTGGTCCACGCCTATCGGCCGATCCCCGAGCGCCCGGTCCACGAGGTACAAGCGGTTGCCCCTCCTCCGCCTCCGCCGACCGACGATCGCGCGACAAACGAAGAGACGGGTAAAAACTCTAAGTATTGTCGTTATCATAAATCTTATACTCACAGTACGGAGGAGGGCTTCTACCTGAAGAAGATCATGGAGGGTATCATCCAACAAGGAACCCGCCTCCTAACCAGTGGAGGCGGAGATCGGGCAGTCGAGGGGAGGAGGAACCCGTCGCCGTTGCCGAAAACAGTCGAGGCAAGCAGCCGGCTCCCGAAGAGGAGGAGGCTCAGTGGCGCCAGAAACCGGTTATCAACATGATAGTCGGCGGGCCGGAAGGTGGTGATTCAGCGAACACCAGAAAAGCTTGGGCCCGGCAGTTGTACGTCGGGACAGTGTACGGGCGTGAGGAGAACTCTAAAAAGGCGTGTCGAGAGCCCATCGTGTTCACCGACAGAGACTTACCAGCCGGAGAAATACCGCATCGAGACGCGTTGGTTATAGCCATGGACGTCAACGGCATCGTCGTTCGACGAATCCTGGTAGACACCGGGGGCAGCATCAATGTGCTATATCTGGAAACCTTCACCAAAATGGGGCTGACTCGAGAACTGCTGAACCCCGTCAAAACTCCCCTCGCCGGCTTCACAGGGGACTCGGTGGAGGCGGAAGGGTCGATCACACTTCCAGTTGAGATTGGCACTTACCCGGACGTACAGAAACTCAGCATGAAGTTTATTGTGGTAAACCTGGCCTGCTCGCATAACGCTATACTCGGCCGACCGGGTCTTGAGGATTTAGGAGCTTTGATCTCAATTGAGCATCTCTGCCTGAAATTCCGCACACCAAATGGAGTAGGTACGGTGCGCTGTGACTGAAAAGTCGCCCGCGACTGCTATCTGCAGGTATGCAGAGGGATGGGCAAACGCGAGATGCAGATCTATGAGATCACTGAGAGGCCCCCGAAGAAGACGATACTACCTCGCCCAGAGCCTGCCGTCGAGTTAGAGGAAGTCGAGATCGACTCCACGCAGCCGGACCGACGGGTCCGAATTGGAGTCGGCCTCTCCGAGACATTGAAAGAAGAAATTGTAAAGGTGCTCCGGGAGCACCGGACGGTTTTCGCCTGGGGCCCGGAGGACATGCCTGGCGTCGACCGATCAATCATATCGCACAGACTCGCCGTGGACCCCGGGCATCAGCCAGTCGTGCAGAAAAAGCGATACCTGGCCAACGACCGGAGAGAATTTGTGAAGAAAGAAGTGAGCACGCTACTAGCAGCCGGGCATGTCCGTGAGGTTAAGTACCCGGAGTGGTTGGCAAATGTGGTCCTTGTACCCAAGCCTCCGGCGTGGCGGATGTGCGTGGACTACACCGACCTTAATAAGGCCTGCCCAAAAGACCCGTTTCCCTTACCGCGGATCGATCAACTGGTCGACGAAACGGCAGGGTCGGCGTTGTTGAGCTTTATGGATGCCTTTAGGGGGTACCATCAGATATTCATGCACTCGGCGGACGAGGAAAAAACCGCGTTTTTGACGCCAGACGGAGTTTATTGTTACCGAGTCATGCCCTTCGGGCTTAAGAACGCTGGAGCCACGTACACCCGAATGGTGGCCCGATTGTTTCAGCACCTGCTGGGAAAATCGATGGCCGCGTACGTCGATGACATGCTCGTCAAGAGCCGAGAGGAAAGCCAACACGCGGAAGACTTGGCCGACTGCTTCAAAGTGATGTTAAGATACAATCTCCAGCTGAACCCTAAGAAATGCGCGTTCGCCGTGCAAGGCGGAAAGTTCCTGGGCTACATGGTCACCAAGCGAGGTATCGAGCCTAACCCAGAGAAAGTACAAGCCATCGTCGACATGCAGCCCCCCCGCACTATAAAAGACCTGCAACGACTGACCGGCCGATTGGCCGCCCTCAGCCGCTTCCTGAGCAAGGCGGCAGATAAGACCGTGCCTTTCTTCGAAGCCATGAAGAAGAAGGAGGGATTCGCTTGGACCCCGGAGTGCCAGCGGTCATTTGAAGAATTGAAACGATACCTCTCGACACCCCCGGTATTGTCTACCCCTCAGGTGGGCGAACCCTTATTTCTATACTTGGCCGCCTCCTGCAAGGCGGTGAGTTCGGTGCTGGTCCGAGAGGAAGAACGAATCCAGCACCCGGTCTATTACGTGAGCCGATCTCTGAAAGCTGCCGAGTCGAGGTATACCCCCTTGGAGAGAATTGTATACGCGTTGGTGGTCACCGTGCGCAAGTTGGCACCCTACTTCCAAACTCACACCGTCCAAGTACTGACAGACCAACCACTTGGAAGCGTTTTGCGAAACCCACAATCGTCCGGCCGCCTGGTAAAATGGGCCGTAGAGCTAACCCAATACGGGATTGAATACCAGCCCCGGCCTTCTATAAAAGGTCAGGCCTTGGCCGACTTCTTGGTCGAATGCACCGCAAGCGAGGAAGAAAAGGAACGCGCCGTGGAGAGCTGCCTAGGCGAATGGTGGGAAATGCATGCGGACGGAGCGTCAAGCCGACAGCATTGCGGAGGAGGTGTTGTGCTCATCACCCCCGAAGGATTCCGACTGTATTATGCCCTGAGCTATCTGTTCCCAACCTCCAACAACGAGGCTGAATACGAAGCTGTGCTAAACGGCCTCCGACTCGCCAGGGCCTTAGGGGTCGAGAGGTTACGAGTCAAGACTGATTCTAAGTTAGTAGTCGGGCAGATCTCAGGCACCTGCGAGGCAAAGAATGCCCGGATGACCCTATATAGAGAACTCACGGTTGGGATGCTAAAAGAGTTCGGAGCCTACGAGATAGAGTATATATCTCGAATGGATAACATGGAGGCTGACCTATTGTCCAAGATTGCCTTGGAAGGAGTACTGGACCACCTGGTAAAGATCTGCCAGAAAGAGGAACTAAGTCGACCGAGCATCGAAGAAACACCGCTAGAGGTCCAGCAAGTGACTAGCGGGGAATGGGATCGAGAGAAAAATCCCGAGATGTTCTGGATAGAGGATATCCGGCGATTCATAGAAAAAGGCGAGTTACCGGAAGACCCGGGAGTCGCCGCGAAGATTCGACGAAAGGCCCCCTCTTTCCAGATCATTGATGGGCAGGTATATAAACAGTCGTTCGGGGGACCTTTGCTAAGATGTTTGCTCAGGCCTGAGGCCGAGAAAATAATGGACGAAGCCCATAGAGGCATCTGTGCCGCGCACCAGGGTGCTCACACCCTCGCTCGGAAGTTAGTCGTCCAATGATATTATTGGCCCACCATGATGCGAGACTGTATTGAATGGATATCCAAGTGCGGCATTTGCCAGGCATTCGCCAAGAAAGACACTCGGCCAGCTACTTTTTACACGCCAGTCACCACCGCTATCCCATTTTCCAAGTGGGGGATTGATTTGCTGGGCCCATTGCCAGTCGCCCCTGGAGGCTTGAAGTTCTGTGTTGTAGCTATCGACTACTTCACCAAGTGGGTTGAGGCGGAACCACTGGCCACCATCACCGAGTACCAATGCCGACGCTTTTTGTGGAAAAGGGTAATTTGCCGCTTCGGCCTGCCCGAGCACATCGTTAGCGACAACGGACGACAGTTCGATTGCCAGGCCTTCACCGACTTCTGCCGCCGACATAAGATTCGCCACACTAAAGTATCGGTAGCGTACCCACAAGCCAATGGACATGTCGAGAATGTGATGGAATTCAGAAGAAATTGGAAGACATTCATGGGAATTGGGCGGATGAGCTCGACCGAGTCCTATGGGCCTATCGCACCACTCAACGACGAGCAACGGGGGAAAGTCCGTTCTCCCTTGCGTATGGCTTCGAGGCCAAGGTCCCGATCGAGGTGGTCGAACCCACTCATCGGGTCCGTACCTATTCAGACGCGGAGAACGAAGAGAGTCTTCGAATCGAGAAAAATTTCTTAGAAGAAAAGAGGGAAGCCGCGAGCGCGCGAATGGCTGAATACCAACAGGCGGTGAAAAGATATCGCGATCGGCGGACTCGTCCGCGAGCCTTCCAGGTCAGCGACCTCGTGCTACGGGATCGACAGGCCAATCAGCCCACAGAAGGGGGTAAGCTTGCGATCAAGTGGGAGAGACCATACCGCATCGCCGCAGTTGTCCAAGCGGGGACCTACAAACTGGAAACCATGGAGGGCAAGCCCGTGGATCGAATTTGGAACGTTATCCACCTAAAGAAGTTTTATCAATAGAGAGGGACAAAACATGTATGGGCCCGCGGGTCCTGAAAAGACTTGAATAAAAGTGCGAGTTACGGTTAACCACTCCATCGACCCGACGAGAAAGAGTTAGGAAACAAGGGCCCATACCCTTAGTCGTTTCCGGGAAAAAGCCAAAGAGGAGTCGCCTCGACTGAGGGACTCGGCGAGTATATAAAGAAACGATGGGGCACTGACCCTAAAACGTTTCTGAGAAAGTAAAAGCCTAAGGAGTCGCCTCGACTGAGGGACTCGGCGAGAAAGAGTTAGGAAACAAGGGTCCAGACCCTTAGTCGTTTCCGGGAAAAAGCCAAAGAGGAGTCGCCTCGACTGAGGGACTCGGCGAGTATATAAAGAAACGATGGGGCACTGACCCTAAAACGTTTCTGAGAAAGTAAAAGCCTAAGGAGTCGCCTCGACTGAGGGACTCGGCGAGAAAGAGTTAGGAAACAAGGGCCCAGACCCTTAGTCGTTTCCGGGAAAAAGCCAAAGAGGAGTCGCCTCGACTGAGGGACTCGGCGAGTATATAAAGAAACGATGGGGCACTGACCCTAAAACGTTTCTGAAAAAGTAAAAGCCTAAGGAGTCGCCTCGACTGAGGGACTCGGCGAGAAAGAGTTAGGAAACAAGGGCCCAGATCCTTAGTCGTTTCCGGGAAAAAGCCAAAGAGGAGTCGCCTCGACTGAGGGACTCGGCGAGTATATAAAGAAACGATGGGGCACTGACCCTAAAACGTTTCTGAGAAAGTAAAAGCCTAAGGAGTCGCCTCGACTGAGGGACTCGGCGAGAAAGAGTTAGGAAACAAGGGCCCAGACCCTTAGTCGTTTCCGGGAAAAAGCCAAAGAGGAGTCGCCTCGACTGAGGGACTCGGCGAGTATATAAAGAAATGATGGGGCACTGACCCTAAAACGTTTCTGAGAAAGTAAAAGCCTAAGGAGTCGCCTCGACTGAGGGACTCGGCGAGAAAGAGTTAGGAAACAAGGGCCCAGACCCTTAGTCGTTTCCGGGAAAAAGCCAAAGAGGAGTCGCCTCGACTGAGGGACTCGGGGAGTATATAAAGAAACGATGGGGCACTGACCCTAAAACGTTTCTGAGAAAGTAAAAGCCTAAGGAGTCGCCTCGACTGAGGGACTCGGCGAGAAAGAGTTAGGAAACAAGGGCCCAGACCCTTAGTCGTTTCCGGGAAAAAGCCAAAGAGGAGTCGCCTCGACTGAGGGACTCGGCGAGTATATAAAGAAACGATGGGGCGCTGACCCTAAACCGTTTCTGAGAAAGTAAAAGCCTAAGGAGTCGCCTCGACTGAGGGACTCGGCGAGAAAGAGTTAGGAAACAAGGGCCCAGACCCTTAGTCGTTTCCGGGAAAAAACCAAAGAGGAGTCGCCTCGACTGAGGGACTCGGCGAGTATATAAAGAAACGATGGGCCACTGACCCTAAAACGTTTCTGAGAAAGTAAAAGCCTAAGGAGTCGCCTCGACTGAGGGACTCGGCGAGAAAGAATTAGGAAACAAGGGCCCAGACCCTTAGTCGTTTCCGGGAAAAAGCCAAAGAGGAGTCGCCTCGACTGAGGGACTCGGCGAGTATATAAAGAAACGATGGGGCACTGACCCTAAAACGTTTCTGAGAAAGTAAAAGCCTAAGGAGTCGCCTCAACTGAGGGACTCGATGAGAAAGAGTTAGGAAACAAGGGCCCAGACCCTTAATCGTTTCTGTGAAAAAGCCTTGAAGAGTCGCCTCGACAGAAGGACTCGGTGAGCGGTTAAAAGAGACCAGGGTAAAGGAAAAAGCTTCGATCTCAAGATAATACGAAAGGGAAGAGAAAATGGGAATTTTATTAAAAAAGGCCCAAAAAGGAGGCCAGCCTTTACAAAAAAGGGACTATCCCAAACAGAATAGCCCTAAACTACTGGGGAGGGGGTGTCGACATCAATCCCTTCGACTTGGGCCCCTGCCGTTGGTCCAGTCAGGGGAACAGAAGAAGGGTCCTCGGACTGAAGAGAGGACTCGGCGAGCTCCGGAGGAGTTGCTGAAGGAAGAGTCGTCGGATCGGAGGCTACCGGAAGAGCTGCCGGGTCCACAATCGCTGACTGTCCTTCAGTCGCCGGAAGAGCATCTATCACGGGCTTGAGGCCCCAGCTCTCGGGAGTGAAAGAGGAGTCGCGGACCAGCAAGGCAGAATGGATCTCTGTCTGCGCCTCGCGAAAGCAGAGGCGATAGTCACGCTCGCCCAAGTCCAGGAGGAACTCGTCACCATCCGGCGTCGACAGCCACTCTTTAGCAATCTCTTTCTGGCGAGCCTCTATCGCCGCCTTCACCTTCGCCTCGAAGGCAGCCGACTTCTTGTACTCCTCGACAGAGGTCGCAGCAATCGTCGCCACCTTGTCCCGCTCTTCCTCCCACTGACGAGTGACTCTCAGCATCTCGGAATTGTGCACCTCCACCGCCTTGAGGTGCTTCGCCTGCTCTTCCAAAAAGGCCTCCTCCGTCTGACGCAGCTTGAGGGCCATAGACCGCATTTCGGTCCTGTAGTTCTGCAGCCGCTTACTCATCTCCATCTCGAAGGTGAGGTTCTGCGAAACGGACACGAGTCAGATAATGAAAGGAAAGGACGAAGAAAAAAAAAAAGTTAAGTGGAAAACACTTACGCGGTACGATTGGCGCAGTGAGGCCTCGATGATGTACGCGTCCCCCAGAGCATGAGTCGCCTCCACGTCCTTAGGTAGAAGGACGTTAGCACACAACTTACGGATGGAGGAGGCGCCCATCCAGATCTGGGCATCCTCCTCTACCTCATGGCACAGCGGGATTCTTTTTGGAGCCGGCTCATCAGTTTGACCAGTCGGGCGCTTAGAGCCGGGACTCTCTGTCTGAGGAGGAGGTGGCTGTCGAGTGGGCGACACCACTGGCGACGGAGTAAGATCCACCACGTTTCGAGGTGGAGGAGGAGTCGGCCTGGGAGCAGGAGACGGTAGGGAGGAAGAGGCAACAGCAGTACCGGAAGTGCGTTGGATCAGCCGACGCCTCATCTTTTCGGCTCTATCTGCCATTTCGGGAGTCGGTTCAACCGCCTCGTCGGAGCTGGAGGAGTCGGAGTCGTATGGACCTGTAAAAAGGAGAGAGAAACCATGAGGTGTTCCGAGTCGAAATGTGGCAAGACAAGAAAAGAAGACGAATGAGGGGTAACGAAGACTACCTACGGTGGCCGCACCCTCCGGTAGCAAGCCACGCTTAGCCATGGCCCGGACTCGGGACCAGTACTTGACGGAGTACGGTCCAAAGCCCTTCAAGAACTCGCCGCCCAGGACCGCATCATCGGAGGGAACGGCACGTCGAGAGCAAGGCTTGAATAGAGCGGCCGGCCACAAGGTCGGAAAAGTGAAGGAAGAAAAGGCAGGGCGGACGAAGAAATAGAGGAGCTTCCAATCCTTAATGGAATCGGACAGCCCCTCGAAAAGCTGCCGCCCCGGGCGAGCGGCGACTTGAACGAAGCCCGGCGAGTGCGAGCCAACCTTGTTCACGGTGAAAAGATACCGGAACAGATCTAGGTCCGGCTCGCACAACCACCAGTGGCAGAGATTGACGAAGCAAGTAAGGAGTCGGTGAGAATTGGGCACTAGTTGGCCCGGAACCAAGTTGTAATGGCGGTAAAAAAGGGAAAGAAAAGGACACGGAGGAACCCGGAAGCCAAAGGCAACCGAGTGTAGATGAATACCGACACAACCCTCGGGTGGGTCGTAAATTTGCCGGCCCTCCGGGGCAAGGACTACGGCCGAGGGCCCAAGAAGGTACTGGGCCATTTCCAGATCCGCCGCAGTAACGAAGGACGGCGGCCCAGAGGGATGGACGATTGGATCGAACTTGCCCCGCGGCCGTACAACGCCACCCGGCAGAGCCGCCACCGTCGTTAAAGGAGCGGGGCTCAGCGGAGTAACCGCCCCCGAAGAAGAGGGGGTCGGAGGAAGGGAGGATGTCGAGGGAACGTCCGCAGGAAGTTCCATACGACGGAGAGAGGACGTCGAGTGAACGTCCGCCGGAAGTTCCATACGACGAGGAGGAGAAGAAGAAGACGAAGAAGGAGAAGAAGAAGAGGGAGAGGTCGCCTCGGGGTTATCAACCGAATAACGACGGGAAGAGGAAGAAGACATTACCTAAGTCAGGAGAGAGATCGGAGGAGGTACAGAGTGGCCGGAGAAGCTCGAAGTTGAAGCTGAAAAGGAAGACTGGAGAAGAGAGTGGAAAGAGGGACGAAATGGCTATTTGAAGGGTAGGAATTTCACAGGACGGCCACGTGCCACCTTCTCGTTAGAAGAGGTAGAGGTGACGAGACGTGAAGGGACGCCGCATTTAATGCCTCAAAAGGCGGGGCGACGGTTCAGGCCTAGGGTTAGCCCACAGACGGCGCGTCTGCCCTAGGCTAGGGTCGAACGTCACGTGGCCCGGCCTGCTAAGCCGGAAGACCGTAGTGGGCCATGGCCTCTGGGCCCACGAGATACGAGCTGGAAGCTTCTGGAAGCAACCCGGTAGAGCCCGGCTCATCAAATGATACCGGACGAGCTCACAAAGAGATTCCGTTTGCGAGGTCGGCGATCGGACTCGGTGACTCCCTCAGCAGGAGGATCTCGCCATAACAAAACTAGGGGTCGGTCTCATAGACCCGAGATCGGGCAACGAAATAGTAAGAAATTGCGGGGTCGGATAGGAAAACACACAGTTTATTTGTTCAGATACGAAAATTACAAGGCCCAGAACTCGGCCGATGCAAATTACAAGAGAAAAGCAGAGTCATGGCTTGGCTTCCTTCTCTGTCGACGAGCGGGCAGTCGGAGGACCCTCTAGAAAGTATTGGGGGCGGAATGGTAGAGGACTCGGCTCAGGCTCTAGCATCTCGTCCAGATACACGGCCGGCTTCCCATCGTCAATCATTCGCAGAGGCCTCTCCAGAGCACTTGGCGACATGGCGACGCCAAAAAGCGGAGGAACCTCCCACACCTCTTCCTCCTCTGGAGCAGGATTTCCGACCTCTGGTCCGGGATCCTCCACCACCGGCTCCACTTCCGCATCAGCCTGTTCCACAGGCGTCAGATCCAGCATATCCGGGGACACGATGATTGGATCAGCGGCTGAGTCGCCCACCAGGTGGCCTCCATTTGCTAGCCGTTTCTGCGCCAACTCCTCCAGCCGGGCGTGCTCTCGGTTGCGGATGGACCAGCGGCGGTCACCGTCCCTGAAGCTCATGGCTACGCGATTGAGAAAATAAAGAGTGTTGCAATTGCATCAACCACGAAGGGTCCTTATATAGCCCGATGGAGACGAATATCTAGGCGATAATCACGGAGGAGACTGTAACTGACATAACTGAGCCGGATTAGACGGGTAGCGCGAATCTCTATCAGGGGTTAGTTCCCTCAAATCCGCCTGGGAAAAGCAAGATTCGCACGGCTAATGCAGAGAAGATTGGATTCGCTCAAGATACGGGGAATCTCGCAGATGTCAGACTAAAACAGGTCTGATGACATGACCGACTCCTTGACCAGTCGTTCGGATAGATACGTGGCAGAACACGACAAGACATAAAGCAAAACGAAAATGACATTCTTTATTATTATTATGAGGAAGGAGGATACAAATGGCAGGGAGCTTATTACAATAAGGAATATAAAAATGCTCCTAAAAGGGATTCTTCCGAGCTATGGCCGACCCCGGTACATACGATCACTCGCCAGGCGAGGAAGAGTCGCCCCCAAAGAATCCCCCCGATGGTCCAGGGGGAGATGGGCAGAACGAGTCCCAGAAAGCCGGCATGAGTGGTGGCGCAATTGGCTCCTCATCGTCCGGATACGCCTCCAGGTAGCGGGCGTAATCCTCATCATCCATTAGGCCCGTAACGGGCCCGTTCAGGTCGTCCAGCGGGATGGAGAAAGTCACTTTGAAAGTGAGTTGTTCTGGAACCGCCACCTCAACGAAGGACCCGTCTTGGGAAGTCACTCGGGCAGTTGTGGGCGTAGACGTATGGCGTGAAGGTGGAGCGACCTCTCGTCGAGGAGGGGTCGGCGGCTGAGAAGCCGAAGAAGCAGCGCCAACAGGGGACCTCTGAGAAGCCGGGCGAGGAGCCTTCTTTTTGTGTTCCCTTTCAGGCCGAGTCCGCTTGGAAGGCAGCGGACGCCAAGGAGACCCGAAGTCAATTCGCTTTCCTTTCAAAGGAGAGCGACCCATGATGAACTTGTGAAGGTAAGAGAGAAGGGAAGAGGCCATTTATAGGTACCAAGCCTAGACAGAAGAATCCAAACGGCTCCGCGAGATCCGGGGAGGATGGCTGACGATCCGGACGTTACAAGGGGCTATTCAGGGCACGGATACGGTGATTGAAGGAGACGGGCAGTTGCTACTTTTCCAAACCCAGGCTGGAGGACCGGGTATGGAAAAGTGAGGGACTAGTTGATGGGGTAAGGACCCCGGCCCAAGAGATAGGGGCCCAAAGAAAATAGAAGTGGGCCAGCATCGAGAGGAGCCCGAAGAGCAATCGGGCCGGGTCCGGGAGTCGGCCCAGGCCCAAGCACGGGGCCCAGTTCAGAGCTACTAAGAGGAGTCCAGTAAGAGCTTAGGCCGAGACAAGGAGTCGACCGAGGCCCAAGCCCAGGAAAAGACTCGGCTCGAGGAGCTGTTGAGAGCATTAAAGGGGTTCATTTAAAAGAGAGCCGTTAAGGCATTGAAGGCAGGACCCGGTCGGGCTGTTACAAGCCCGGGAGAGCCGTTGGTCGACCGAGTAATGGCGTCCAACGGCTCCGTATCTTGATTAGCCTTGAAGTCGGCCATTAAGGGCCTTCAAGTCGGCAGAGGAGGAGCCACTATATAAAGGCTCCTCCATTCTTGTAAAAGGTAGACAAGGGAACACCCGGAGGAGGGGAGAATAACAAAGAAATTCCGAGCACTAGCATTATCTCTGAGTTAGACATACATTTTATTGAGAGGTGTATCCTCCAGCCAAAGGTTGTGTTGGACCTCCTTGGGCCCAAAAACCCTAAAACCATCACCGACGTTGTATGTTATTTAAAAAAATATTTAAAAAAAGTTACAACGTCGACTAATACCTATTAGCCGACCCGTTGTAAGTTATTTTAAAAAAAAACTAAAAAAAAACTTACAACGTCGACTATTATCTACTAGCCGACGTTGTAGGGTATTTAAAAAATATATAAATAACTTACAACGTCGGCTAATAGCTATTAGCCGACGTTGTAAGTTATTTAAAAAAAATATAAAAAAGTTACAACGTCGGCTAATACTAATTAGCCGATGTTGTAGGTATTTATTTATTAAATTAAAAAATATATATAACGTCGGCTTTTTAAATAGCCGACGTTATATATATTATATACAACGTCACCCAGAACAACTTCGGAAATTAGCCGACGTTGTAGGTGCTATTTAGCCGACGTTAAAAGCCTGCTGTGTAGTAGTGAACTATCTTCTTTATTTTAGTTTTTGCTTCTTGTGCCTTCTACCAGTGGATGTCCCACCGGACTATAGCTCCGGCGAACGAAGGCTTGAATAACGAGTGTTTGGAGTCGCTGCCGGAGCTCAGTTTCATCGCCAAACATACCCAGAAATTTTTACAGTGCTCCATTTGTCTGACGGTATATGTGGTCGGAGACAAAATTCGAGTGCTACTGTCGTGTGGTCATGGCTTCCATGTAGGGTGCGTTGATACATGGCTAGTTTCTCACTCCTCTTGTCCGTCTTGTCGCCGGCAAGTTCTCATTCCGGTTGAGAGCCAAGACTACGATGAACTGCCGATATAGTACAATTGATTATATCATGTTCAGTGGTCAAGCGGGATAACGGTAGTCCTTGGTCAAGCTGAATAGTTGTGCTTTAATAGGTTGAAAAAGTATGTATGGAGAGACATTACATTGTAACACATTCACTACTCAAAAAACAAAAAGATTATATCCTACTAAATTGTTAAACAAATTTGTTTTTTTGTTTTTTTTTTTTAATTTTATGGATAAATATTCCTACTAAATTGTTAAACAAATTTGTTTATTTTTTATTTTATGGATAAATATTTGATACATTGTCGATGAATTAATTGCACTTTTGGTTCTGTGACTATTGGGGTGTTGTTAATTTGAGTACTTGACTTTCAAAACTCTCAATTTCGTCCTATAACTATGCAATTGTTAACACATTTGGTCCTGTGGGCCAATTTTCACCGGAAAAATATAAACAACTTTTAATTATTTAATCATAGGGGCAATTTGATCATTTCAAGCTCTTCTTCTTCCTTCCCCAGACTTCTTCTTCGTTCTTCTTCTTCTTTCTTGCAGGAAATTGCACCACCAGTTGCTGGCTCAGATCCCTTGCCTTAAAATGACGGATTTGATCTTAAAAGACAAAGGGTGCCGGGGATTCTACAGGGGATTCGGGACTTCCCTCACCGGAACCATCCCGATGCGTGTGGGGTTGGTGAGCTACAACGGCGGAATAGGTGCATTTAGGAAGACAATTTGCAGCTATGGAGTTTTAAGATTGTTTCTAAATATATATATATATATATATATATATATATATATATATATATATATATATATATATATATATATATATATATATATATATATATATATATATATATATAATCGCACTCAGGTGCGAACGGCTCGCCCAGGCGCGAAATAGGAATGAATTCTGTTCGTCCACGTGTCCAGATCTAATGGATGAGAAACACTGATTTTTAAAAAAAAAACGCGGTGGCATTTTCGTAAATAATTGAACATCGAAGTGCAAGTAAAATGTATTACAAGTGCATGTAAAATGTATTATAGGTGCAAGTAAAAATTTACACTGAGCATCAATACTTAGTTGCACTTATAGTTCTAAGTAGTTGCACCTATAGTTCTAAGTAGTTGCACACATAGGTATAAGTAGTTGCATCTAGGTGTATGAATGTTTGCGAGTGGTTTTCAGGAGTATTACTACCCGCGAACTCAGATCAATGAATGTTAACAAGGCAAAATTACATGCACTTATAGGTGAAAGTAGGTGCACCTATAGTTATAAGTAGTTGCACCTATAGTTATAAATAGTTGCACACATAGTTATAAGCACACCCAAGTGAATGAATGGTTGCGGAAAGTGAATGCGAACAAGGCAAAATTACATGCACTAATAGGT